TATGCATGAGAGGGTATATTCAGAACTATATTAAAATAATACATGTATTAATATTTTTTAAATAAAACCCCGCCTCTAACCAAATAAAAACAAAAAAGCCTTTTCTTTTAAAATATATTTAAATATTTTATATCTATTATTTCATAATTATATTCACATTTGCATTCATAGTTTATATTGATGTATTAAATTTATATATATATTATATATAATAATGTAATAATATATTTTTAATTTATATAATATATATAATTGCTCATGCTAATACTTATTTTTAATTTATGTATAATCTTTATGTATTTGTATTTCTATACTTAGATTTCTACCTTTATTTTATTACTATTTATAATTTTTATAATAAAAACCCTGCCTATTAACAAATAAAAACAAAACCCCCTTTATTTTAAAGTATATTTAAATATTTTTATATTTATATTTTTTGTATTTATATTTACATTTATTAGTGATTATATATTACATTATAATATATTGATGTACTATATTTAGATACATAATATGACATGTTATAATACAATAAGATATATATGATATGATCTGTATTATGTATTGTATCTATTTCTATTATTTTGTATTTATTTATATTTATAGATATCTGCATTTATTTATTATACATTTCTATATTTATATTTTAAATGGATTTCCATTTATATTGGTAATCTATATTCAGATGTATTTATATAAACATATAAAATACTCAATATTGAACATTATAATATTATGTTACATGTTTTATTTATATGTATTCTATATTAAAAATTTAAATTTTATATTCCTCTTTCTATATTTATATATTTGTTTTGTTTAATTATAGTTATAATTTTGCATTTAAAATCCAATTCCTGAAAATAAAATGACAAACAGCATCAAATTCCCACTAATACTGTTCAAAAAAATAGCTCCACCAGCCAACAAACTGCTAGCAATAAAACCCCACACTATGCTCTTTTCATTGACAATTCTTATCACATCACAAAAATGAAACAAAAATAAGAAACATCTGTATAGAAACCCGCGCAGCAAATCACAAAATCTCGTAAATAAAAATAAATCAAACCAAGTTACTAAACTCAAAACTGTACAACCGATCCTAAAATAAATCCGAAACTTTACCTCCACACTAACACATAAAGAGTAACCAGTACTCTATAAAATAACCAAAATAACCGCCAAACTAATTAACGATTTAAAAATCCTAAATTACTAAAAAGCAAAAAAAAAATCAACACCCCAAAAATTAATAAAAATCTATCATATTAACACTCATGTCCCCCAAAATAAAACTAATAAAAACCAACCACCATATAAATTAAACTACAAAAATAAAAATATCACAAACTTAACAACAAAAAAAGTTATTCCTAACTCAATAAACCTATAATGCCTTAACCACCAAAATAAAAATACCACTAGAAATAAACACAAAGCCAAAAGATAAATGTTACCATAAACAATATCTCCCAAATTATCCGTAACCATAAAACATACAGTACAATCAAACAAATCAAATAAACAAAACCCCTATAATACAATAAACAAAAATGCAATTATAAATACTTTAAAACCTCACCCATTAACTACATGACACTACCTCAAACCCACTGAAACAAACATTACATACTCATGCTAATAAAAACACATTGGCTAATAAAAGCCACTACAGCATCATTAAAAATCTACTTGTACTTCATGCTACGACCCACAAAAACCAATATAAATCTTAAAAAAAATCCCTTAAAACATAATAACCCCCCCAAAAGAAAATCAATTCGAAGAAAACATTATCATCAAACTTATCGTCTCACCTGAACCGAGAACCGTAACATGCAAAAAGTTCACCATATCCGCCTCCTCGGGACCTTGGGGTGCCCCAAATGACATCAGAGCCCCAAGTCTTGACCCCCCTTTCCCCACCTCCAAAGAAGGCACCGAACGAGTCAAACTGCCCTGGACAGCAGCATGGCACTTTCTTTAGTCGAGCCCTTTCCACATGTACGTCCCCCCAGAAAGGGACTGCTCCACCAAGACAGGAGGGCAGCCCCCAGAAGGGTTGAAGTTCTTCCCCAACCTCGCTGTCACACGCGAGAGCCAGAAACAGGGAGTGACAGCAGAGAGGACATAGGAAGAAAAGAAAGAACAGGGTGGAGGATGAAATTGAAAAAAAACCACAAAAAACCACAAAAAACAAACAAACAAAAAAAACCCAAAAAAACAACAGAAAAACCCTAAATTGCGATTGAATTAAATGGGCAGGAGACCTTTCTCCTTTTTAATGCCTTTATTAAGAAGAATCAGCTCAGGTGGGGAGAAGCCGACGGGTCGTGCCCACGCCGCTGCTGCTCCCAGGCGTGGCACGGAGAAGGAGGATGATGCAGCTTTGTCCGCTGGTCTGCAGACAGAGCTGAGGATTCCGTCCTCACGGGAGAGTAGCAGATTCCAGCTTTTTTGTCTGCCACCCCGGGGCGTCTCTTTAATCAGCATCTTTTCAGGTTAGGGTGAGAAGCAAAAAGGGTCCAAGCAGGTACGGGACTACGCTCCCATCCTCAGACGTCACTTAGGTCACTCGTTGGCTCGTGATTTTAGAGGTTTTCCTGGGGAAAACTGTAAAAATTCAGGGCGCAATGCATTTCTCATCTGCATACTGGCTCTGATGTCACTCCTATTTTCCTCTTACCTGGAGGGTCTGTCTCCCTGGCAAGCGGCCAGCATCAGGGGGACAATGGTTAATCACCGGCCATTAACAGGTAATTGAAGAACTCCTCTTTAGGAGTGAAAATGGCTTACAACAACTGGTCTGACTTGTTTTTGAACTCTGCAACCTAAAAAAAATATAACTTTCTATTCATAACAGGGATGAGCAGCACGACACAGAGGGATTAAAAAAGCACAGAAACAAGGAACAGGACACAAGCATCCTGTGAAGAACAATATCAAAAGGAGCGCCACAGAGAATAAAATGAGATCTCCCCTGACGTGAAGACGACAGGGTCTCTGTCGACCGGACTTTGAGGGACTTTGTCACCTGCACGTCTGGTCGCTATACACCTCCTTGCCTTTCCTGTCTTTTCCTTATTCTTTCCCTTTTCTTCATTCCCCTTCTCTCTAACACATCTTTGCTGTGGCTATTGAATAAAAGTACATCTGTTTTGATTTACTGCAAAATCCCCTTGTCGTGTCAGTTTCTGCACCCTGAGATCAGTGAAAAAGAACCTTCACAAATCACGTCCTTAGGACAGATCTTGACGCCGTGATGGGCGGGGCTGCGCAGGAGGGGCATGGCTTTAGGGGGTGGGGCTATAGACAACGTGGGGAAGGGAGGGGCTAAGGAGTGGGTGTGTCCTGAGAAATCACCAACCTGCACAAGGGTTGGTTAATATGCATGAGGGTCCTTAATATGCATGAGAGGGTTGTTAATATGCATGAAGGCTCATCAACCTGCATGAGGGTTGGTTAATATGCATGAGGGCTCATCAACCTGCATGAGGGTTGGTTAGTATGCATGGAGGGTTGTTAATATGCATGAAAAGGTCATTAATATGCATGAGGGTTTGTTACTATGCATGAGGGATCATCAACCTGCAGCATGGCATGCAGGGTAATTAATATGTATGAGAGACCATCAACCTGCACTAGGGCTTGTAAAGATGCATGGAGGGTCATTAATATGCATGAGGGGCGCGTTGATATGTGCAAATGGCCGTGAGGTCAAGGGCCTGGCGCGGGCAGGGGGTGGGGCCACCACGTCCCCTGCTGCCCACCAGCCCCTGAGGTACTGCCCACCCCCTCCTCCCACCCGGGACCCCTCTAAGACCCCTCAGGACCTCCCAGGACCCCTTGCACCCCCCAGGATCCCCTGGCTCATCCCCAGGACCCCTCAGGAACACCTCAGGACCCCCATGGTACACCCCAGGACACCCTTGGAACCCCCAGGACCCCTCAGGAACCCACGGGACCCCCCCATCCCCACCCTCCCCGAGACCACCCCCCCAGAGGCACCCCCTGGTGGCAATGAAGGCTACAAGCATGCACTGTGTCCAGGACCCAAACTGGGAGCGATGGGAGGGACTGGGAAAGGACTGGGGGAAATGGAAGGCACAAGAAGGGAACTGGGAGGGACTGGGAAGGAACAGGGAAAGGACTGGGGGAACTGGGAGCGACTGGGAGAGGATACGGGAGAATGGGAAGGAGACTGGAAAAAAACTGTGAGAAACTTGGAGGAAACTGGGGGGAACTGGAAGGGGATTGGGCAGGACTGGGAGGACTGCGGGAACTGTGAGGAACTGTGAAGAACTAAAAAGGGACTGCGAGGAGACCAGAAGGCAACTTGAAAAGGATTGGGAGGGACTGGGACGAGGACTGGGACGAGGACTGGGAGAGACTGGGAGGGGATTGGGGGAACTGGGAGGGGACTGGGATAGACTGAGATCACTGGGAGGAAACTGGGAGGAGATTGGAAGCGCTGAGAGGGGACGGGGAGGGGATTGGGAGGGGACTTGGGGAAATCGGAAGGGACTAGGAAAGGACTTGGGGAACTCAGAGGAAACGGGAAGGGACTGGGAGGACTGGGGGAAGCAACACTGGCCCCTTCCCCAGAGAAAAAAAACTCACCAGGCCAGGTTCCTGATGTCAGTTTGCAGGAGGCACTTGGCACTGTCAAACCAGCCACAGTTGCCTCTGGGGGCATCTTGCATCTGGGAGGCATCCTGATCCGTGCCCACTTAAGCGACACTTAGCAAAGTAAGGTACAGAGATTCTTCCAAAATAGAATTTTTGTGGCAGTAAATAAACCACGAGATGATCAGCATGGAAGGAAAATGCAGCAGACAGTCACAAGCAAATAAACATCTTTTATTGGAACGATTACTGAAGTCTTCAAAAACATTGCTTGGTACCTCCTAGTCACCCCACCCCAAATACCATGATCATCGCAAAGGAAGTCTCTGTGGAACATGTGAAAAATGTCTGGTTATGCTTTAGGAATAAAAAAAGCCAGAGAATGGATGCCTCATTTGATGTTGCTGCAGCAGAAGCTCTCTTTGGGTCTGTGACTCTTTTGTCAGTGACTCAAGTGCCTCCTCCACCTGTTGTGAACAGATGACACAGCAAAGCCCTGAAGAAAAGGCAGCAGATTCTAGAGGGTGATTTCTTCCCTTTTAGTTCCCCCTTGAGCTGTGGAAATGTGCTCATTCCCAGCAGTAAACCCAGTCTGGAGGCGTGACCAGTGTCAAAGGCTGCCACCTTCACTGCAACGTGCCACTTGCACCTCATCATGACATAACCCTTCCCCTAGGCCAGACTGGAAGAGAAAAAAAAAAAAAAACCTCGGGGAGTTTTCAAATGCATTTCCTAAAAGCCAGAACACAGAGCATCAGAAGGAAAATGAGGACTTTGTCCACTTACCAGGACCAGCTTTCCTTGGAGGTGTGACACCTGGGAGTCCAGATCCTGCAGGACACCACGAAATGCTGTGCTCAGGCTGGCCATGTCCCCAAGCTCACAGAGCTTCCTGCACACCCTGTCTCTGCAGTCCACTAGGCTGCGAGGTAATTCCAGCAGTAACTCCTCGTGGCTGTGGAACTACCTGTGTCAGATGCTCATTTTGGCTGCCAGCCTCCCTCAGCACCTGGTCCTGCTGCTGGCTGGCAGCTTCCAGCTCTCCAGTACTATTTTTTAACTGTATTTGTAGATGCTCTTTGCTCTGCGACTCCTTTGGTCTGAATTTGGAAACTAAAGTAAAATAATTCAGAGAACAGGATTCACCTGGAGTTTTACCCTCACAGGGGTAATACTTCAGTTGATGAACTGCTGGTTTTTACAGCTAAATAATGAGTTGTTTTCTAATCCCAGAGTGCTATAGTGTTATTCCAGGAGGGAAGTTTCTCCCTGAGGAAGCCTGCTGTGCCTCTCAAAGCTCATACAGATGCTCTCCATGGTACATCTGTCTCAACCTTCATACCTGCTATGCTGAAGTGCATCTCTTTCCAGCTGCATTCCCCTCAGTTTGCTCTGCCCATCAGACTTAAATGGATTTCCTCACACAGCTCAGTGGTCTAAAAGAGAAAAAACAAACAACCTAACTGAACCAGCCAAAATACTGAAGACATGACCTAAACCAGAAAGAGGCTGCTTAAAATAGTGCTGGTGAAACTGCCCAAAGACTCAGCACTGACAAGGACTCACCTAAATTTAAGAAGCTGTCCCAAATTTCAACTCACTTCATGCAGCCTCTTCTGCACATCTCCACTTTTCTGAGAGAAACTGTAGAATCAGAGGAGAATTTGGTTATATAAAACCTTGAGTACAAAAGGAAAGAAACCTGAGCCAATTCACACTGTCTTATTTTACTGGAATTGATCAGGCAATGGATTATTTACTCCATTCCTGAGGGTGTGGTGTCAGTTTGACTCATCAGTCTGAGTCAATCAGTAAATCAAATCACTGTTTGCCATCAATTTTCAAACTAATTTATGAACCTTCTTGGGTGAAACTTTCAAATATTAGATATACAACTGTGTATAAAAAAAATCACTAAAAATCAAGCTCTACATTCTGGGGGAAAAAATAATGACACAGCAGGGACAGGAATTTTCTGCAAACCCATCCTGTGTATTACCTTAATTCCTGGATATTCTTGTTCATTGGGACAGCACCTGTGAAGAAAAATATGTGCATTTACTTTTTAATCTATTAAGAATCAACTTCATGTAACACAATTAATTCTGCCCATCTAATTTTAAAACTGCAGGAGGACTTAAAGTTATTTAAGGGGAGATAAGTTTCCCTCCTTTTCCAAATCTTCTGGTTTGTTTTGTCAGGACTAACCCAGATGCAGACAGAAGAAGAAAAGAAGAAAAACAATAAAGAGGAGGAAAGAGACAGAAAGGGGAGCGGGAAAGAGACAGAAAGGGGAGCGGGAAAGAGACAGAAAGGGGAGCGGGAAAGAGACAGAAAGGGGAGCGGGAAAGAGACAGAAAGGGGAGCGGGAAAGAGACGGAATCTATCGGTGGTGGTTTTAAATCAGACAGTATTGACAGGTTTCTTGCTCCATTTATTTGCATTTTTATGCGTGACTCGCCCTCGGGAGCGCTGATGACCACACCACAGGCCAGGAGGCAGCCCGAGCAGCACCTGCCATTCCTGGCTAACTTAACACCTTCAACAAACCTGACACAGCCGCCCCGGGGGTGCTTCCTGTGGGCACACTGAGGAGAAAACCAGAGTCCTTGGTTCCAGAGCCCAACCCTGAGGGGCCAGAGCAGCGAACAGAGGAGAAAAACCCCTCAGCCCTGCCATGGCAGGCGCGGGAGCCGCCTCCCCTCAGGCGAGGCGAGAGTGGTGGTGAGCGGTGCTGCATCCAGCTGGCGGCCAGTCACCAGTGGTGTCCCTCAGGGGTCTGTACTGGGACCAGTTCTATTTAATATTTTTATAGATGACATGGATGAGGGCATCGAGTCCTTCATTAGTAAATTTGCAGACGACACTAAGCTGGGAGCTTGTGTTGATCTATTGGAAGGAAGGAGGGCTCTGCAGAGAGCCCTCCTTCCTTCCAATAGATCAACATGTTGGAGGGATGACCGTGAGCTGATTCAAGGCAGAAGTTGGGTGAGGGGACTTTGTCCCGCCAAAGAAAAGCCCAGAGGTTAAAAAGCAAAAGATTCGAAGGCATCTTGCCCTAAATCCAGTTCAGTAATAAAAACTGGAATATTTTTATTTTTACACCAATCTCATCAGAGAGGACAAATTTCTGTGATCCCTGGTATTTTCAAGGTGAGGGAGAGGATGCAGAGTTAAGAGGTGATGACTTCAGCAGAGGAAATTACATGTCTGATTGTGCCATTTTGGATCTCGATTTCACGAATGAACACACAGGTGTCCATAGGCTGTCCCTCGTTTCAGATTATTCAAAAGACCACCTTGATACAAGTTTCCAGGAACAGGTGTATGAACTGTGCCCAAAACAAAATCCCAAATTGGAGAGATGAAGTCTGAGAAAACTCAAGAGACAGAAGGGTATGTTAATTTGTTTAAATATCTGACTAAGATATAAAACACATCACCATTCCTCAAGGGTATCACATAATTTTCATTTACAAGACAAAAAGCCATCCACCTGGTGCTGAAAGACAAAGGGAGAAAAGTGGTTTTACGTGAACTACTACAGAAAAGCAAGAATTAACCAGCTGAAAGCAGACCTCAGCTCTCCATTCTCCTTGCTGCAGTGCAATCCCAAGTGGAAAACACCTCAAGGAAAGGACTTCTAAGGCACTACCTGGAAGAGGCAGCAACAAAATGATTAAGAGATAAATGAGTGTGTAGGTAAATACAAGACCCTACGATATACTGAAGCTCTACGATATCTTCAAATGATATTTTAATCCTCCAACAGTCCCAGGTGTTTATAAAGCATAAAAACTCCCCTGGGAGGGGGCCAGCACCTATCTCTGGCAGGCAGTGCTGGGCTTTGTTTCTCCGGGATTTGGGATGGGGCATGGAGCTTTTGCTCCTTACTGTGGGGCAGGGAAAGAAGGAAGGCACTCATTTCCCCGCCCTCGCTCCTGGCTTTTCCGTGCTGAGGGCTGCCAATCCAACTTCCCGAGCCCTGCTGGGAGCCACCTGCTCCTTACTCCAACACCTCTGCTCCCTACTCGGTAGCCTTGGGAACAAGCTCCTCCTCAGGAGCCCATCGTGGCATGAAGGAGAGCCGATAAACGCCGTACCGAGGGCTTGATTTCTCCCCCAAGTGTCATTCAAACCCCGGCTTCAGCGGGAAACTTGATATCTTTTCCCCATCGGGATCCCGGCAAGGTGCTTTTTTGCAGAATGACGCCTATCTTGACTGCAGGTGCCTTTTTTTCATCCCTTGTTTCCTGGGAGTCCCGGTCTGGAGCACCCAGCAGCCCCTGTCATTCTTGAAACAGAATAACTCTTTAAGGATCAAATTCCTGTGTAACTTTCCTCCTATTTGGGAGTGCCTCTGAAAAGGTATCGAGATGCAAGTATCAACTGCTTGTGTATAAAGTAATCCAGGATAGAGCTTCAGAGGAAGGGATTGGAGCGATTTATGCCAGCAGAGACTACTCACATACCTGGGCCATACCCACCAGCCACTTCAGAGCTGTTTTAAGGTTCTAACAGTGGCATGAATTGTTCAATCATCATCTTATTTGGGGTGGGAACGTTGTACAGTTGTGGTGACTCTTTTTTGATTCCCAGTTCCTGATTGGAACTCTGTTTTCAACAGAGTGGTGACATCAGGTAGACGAGAATTCAGATGAAGGGGGAAAACCTGCAGTTCTGAGTTCAAACGCCCTGGGTTCAGGTCCTTGGGTTGTGGCAGCACTCGTGCTCCCCTTGGAGGGACAGATCCCTTGGCTTATTGCTTTCCAGTTTGCTTTGAGGAGTTGAGCAACACAGCAAAGCTCCATATTAAATGGACAATCTCTTTCCCGTTCTCCAAAGAAAGTTCTTTCCTTTCAGACTTCAAACACAAGTGCCTTTTCCAGCACCAGAAGGATGTGGATTCATTGGTTTCACAGGTTACTTCTGTTTCTCAGTTTTGTTCTTTCCTTCCATTCTCGGACATCTGTTTTCCCCTTTCTCTGTCTGATTTTTTCACATTTTTCCCTCAGGCCTATCCAGAAAAAGAAGCTTGTTCTGTGGTTAGGAATGAAAATGAGTTCAAATCCAACTGGAAATCTGAGTGGAAATTCCCTAGTAGCCCTTAGGAATTTTTCTCTGGAAGCACCTTTTGAATGTGAGCTGATGATTGCAATCTCTTTGATACCATGCAGAGCCTCACAGGTTTTCCCTGCTGTTATTTCTTCTTTTAGGTGCCAGATTGACATTTTCCAGAGCTGAGGAGATGGAAAAGTTACAGCCCCAGCTGATTGTAGGTAAGTATAGGAAAGCCATATTTTTGATTTATGTGTTCCTGATTTTTTTTAAAAAATACACTTCCAGAGGAATTGCTACCCCAGGAGGGAATGATTCATTCCTGAAGGGGTCCTGGGCTGATCCAGGAGAGCTGTGTCTTTTGCCACTTTTGTCTTGTTCCATCCTACTGCAGATTTAGGTGAATGGCTTCAGGACTCCTGGGGAGAGGAAGAAGCTGGGCCCACCAGTGCCTGAATGATGTCCATTATTTGAAATTCCTGATGCTCCTCAGCTCACACAGAGCCCTCCCGGAAGGAAAAGAGAAGTTCTTCAGTGCTAAGACCAAGGGAAAAGGAGCACTGCTTTCTCAGCCTTCTCATGCTTCCTATATGGCCATCAGCAAGTCACACGTCGTGTCTCTGTGAAAGGTAGGAGGGCCCACGTTATTTCGCAAAACTTCTCTGTAGAGACAAAATGGGAATCTGCTTCCTCTCAACTTACAGGATAGAACTAAGCAGCAGGTAGATTTAAACTAAGCCTAGTGTTTAGTTCTCCTGCCAAAAGTAACAAAATGAGCTGAATTTCCTGTCTTTGATCAGATCAGGCACTCTGAACACTCTGGACAGATCCTGCTTCATTTTTGAAAGGGAAAAGCATAGTAAATGCCTATTAACTAAGGAAACTTTGGCATGGAAGTCGATCCGCTTAAACTGTGACAATTCCCGGTTTCAGCAGACGAGGGCAGTGTTGTTCTGACGAACTTAATTTGCAAAAGAATCTTGGAATATTTGAAGGCATTTAGGAAAGGACAGAGCCAGCTGCCTCGATTGATGATAAATACAGGGTTTGATTGGGACCCCTGAAAAGTGAAATCAGTGCTAATTTTTCCTGCTTTAGCAGTGCAGTGCTCGATGAGGGAAAGGGTTCTGACATGACTGTTCCAAATTTATTTTCCCTTACGCCACAACTGTGCAAAACTTCAAACATATTGTTCTGTGTAGAAAGCACTTTGCTGAGCCTGGGTTCTTTTGGCTGTATCCCATCAAGGAGTATGTCAGCTCTGTCCTCAGAGGAACTCCTGTGTGGAATAAGAGCCCGCTGAGGAAGTAGCACACTATCTGGCAGCCCTTTTTTGGGTGATTGATCAAACTTCTTTCCTTAGTTGGTTGTGAGTCTCTGATACATGGAAGCACCTGGATGTGACCTTTTTAGAGCTGGATTAACAGGATGAAAAAATACCAAATCTGGAGGTGGTAAGAGGAGAAAATCCTGTGCCTGCAATGGTGACAAATCTGATGTAGTTTGGCAAAAATGATGTTTGATTCAGCACTTGAAACGAACCACAGTGCTGGAGGAGAAGTAAACTGTCTCAGAAATATGTTGATAACTTTTAATCATCAGATGCAGCAGACCCCGTGAGAAGTAGAGCTCTCACTGGAAATCTGGTGTCCGCAGACAGCTGTGGTGACAAACGTTTCCTGTGGGAAATGGATGTAATCCAGAGGAGTGCCTCGGGCTGTTAACGGGCTGGTGTGTCCTTACACAGCCTTACCTAGTGCTGCTGGCTGTGGAGAGGAGGAGGCACGGCCTCGGAAGAGCTCCCGGAGCCTTCGCCTGGCCCTGGAAGGGCTGTGCAGAGCATTGGACATGAATTGCTCTTTGTGGTGGCTTGGAGCGAGAGTTTTCACACTGAAACATTAGGAGAGCAAAACTTCAGAAATCTGATTTGAGTCAGGCTAAAGGGTGAGCTCTGGATAATAGCAATCCGTGAGCCTGACCAGGTTGTGAGGCTAATGAAAACTCAGGCCCTGGGAGGGAAGCTGAGGGGGCAAAGCTCAGGATAAGCAAGGATTGGGGAATCATCTACCATGAAAAATAAAGCGAGGGGCCTCTTTTCTGCATTTGTCTCCATGGCTCTTGGGAATGAGACCTGGCACACGTGGGGCAAATGGAAGGCTCTGGGAACCTGTAACACCTTAAAGGGAATGGAATGGGAATGGGGTGGCACAGACAAATGCAAGGAATCCTGGGTTTAGAGTCCCAGCTCCAAAGCTTTTCCCCCACTGTTCATTAAGGTTTTGTTAACACAAGGTCCTGAGAGCTTGCAAAACCCGAAGGAGAAATAATGCACATTCCATGCACAGTGAGATCAAAAGCTGGGGGTGCCTTAGAGGCAGACGCTGCTGTGTGCTTCCTCAGCTCTGCCAACAGGAAAGGCAGTGGGCTCTGGTCTTCTCTCTCTATTGTCCTGTTTGAGATCCAGCTAAAAATTAAAAATCAGGAAAGGTTTTGCACACCTCTAGTGACACATGCTGTGATATATGTTAAGGGATGAGCCAAGTCCCAAAGTCTACGTGCACATATGGAAGAGCAGATCCACCCACGTGCAGATGTTCTACAGTAGGTAACTGCCTGCATTAATAAAAGTATCCGGAGTTTTCGTGCTGTTT